ACAAATTACTCAAAACATTCCCTAGCAAACAAAGGAATCGAAATTTGGAACTGTCTTGCAAAAGACTTCAAACAAATAAAATCACATTTCGTCTTCAAACGAGAGGTAAAGAAACACTTTCTTCATATCTAATTAACTACCGGAAGTTTATAAATTTTATCAAACTATAGGGCACAACAAATCACCACACGCTTATTTCTATGATTATTGGTTACTATGAATATCAAATTGTAATTGTATTATTATAATATACCGTATATATTCGCAAAATTGACTACTGTAATAATTTGATTTTGAACTGGTTTACTTAATTAATTAAAAAACAATTGTAAATATATTTCTAGGGGTCTAAGTAAAAAAGCCAAATGGTTTCAAATAGACTCCTAGCCCTCTTCTTCCTTAATATTAGAATTTTCATGTAAATAAATAAATATTATTGGGCAAATAAATAAAAAATAGATGACGTATACACTATATTTAATAGCTATTTTAACTGTATTAACAGGACATATTTTAACTATTTATTTAATATCTTATTACTATTTTTTAACTATTTTTAATCTATTTTGGGCAATATTATATCCACTATTTATTATCTATCTTTAATAAGCTGGGATGTATTTTAACTATTTATTATCAATTTTTAAACTATATTATCACTATTTTTGAACTATTTATTATCTATTTTTAAACTATAATATCACTATTTTTGAACTATTTATTATCTATTTTTAAACTATATTATCACTATTTTTGAACTATTTATTATCTATTTTAAACTATATTATCACTATTTTTGAACTATTTATTATCTATTTTTAAACTATATTATCACTATTTTTGAACTATTTATTATCTATTTTTAAACTATAATATCACTATTTTTGAACTATTTATTATCTATTTTCAAACTATATTATCACTATTTTTGAACTATTTGTTATCTATTTTTAAACTATAATATCACTATTTTTCAACTATTTATTGACTATTTTAAACTTAGTTGAAACTCATTTCAGCTATTTATTACATATTTTTTACCTATATTGTCACTATGTTTTAACTATTTCATACATATTTATTAACTATGTCGAAACTATATATTTTTAATAATTTCCTTAAATAGCTATATTTTCATCATATTTGAAACCTATTTAATTTCTATTCGAGTACATCAATTAAGTATTTGTTTAGAAATATATCATGAATAGGAAAAAATATGGTTCCACTTGGATAGGAAAAAAATAGCCTTTCCACCCTAATTTAAATAGGAAAAACCTCGAAAAAAAATAATAGTAAAAATAGGAAGTAAATAGCCCAATAAAATAGGAATTAAATAGCAATTAAATAGTGTTTGATTCTACAAGGAACACACTTCACTCTTTATGTCAAAAACAATTTCCGCTTAGTGCTATTTTATAGTTGTTTTCTTTATATTTTGCCATATATTTATATTTCCAGTTTAAAAAATCCATTAAAATTGGCTTCTAAACGACTAGAAAAATGTTCATGTTGTCAGAGCTCCATCTTCAAAATATCTATGATCCCCCCCCCCTTGGGGGCACCCAATCCCGGTAGTACCAGGGGCAGCCTGGTCCAAACTTACGCCACTGTCGTTTTGTTCTGTTTATAGTTTTAAGTCGTCGCATAATTGAGCGCTGTATGCACCGCACCGCACTCCACAGGCTCTTATATTACAGTCTATGCATGTATTAGTGTTCAGTTCCGTGCTAGTATATATAGCCACACTGTACGTGTCAAACATTTTTATATATTATATTTTCGAGGAGTTTGAAACATATTTTGTACCGTATATTGAAATTTGCATCTTGTAATTGGGAGTTAAATTCGTTTGAAAACTCTGCAAAGATTACACACATGATCTTCCTAGTGTTTTACTTTAGACTGAGATGCCTGCTGTTTTCTATTTATCATTGTAGTTTACGGCCGAATTTGAAGCAGTAAAAGGTAATAATGCAATGAATTGCTTCATTCAGTTATATAAAGTGCGCACAAGATTAAAACAAGAACCCTGCTGGCTTATGCATGTATTTGTCATTGACATAGCATGGCTGCGTTACAGCCCGCTAGTGCATGTTATAACTGTTATAATTTATAGTTTCCTGCCCGGAAATGCCTAGAATGTCAAAGCGAGTATAAGCATGTATACATATGAAACGTATAAATACACAATTTTTGACGTTGTCAAAGATTGTATAGTAATGCGTTGACGCGTTTGCTATTGCAGTTTACCACATACGAAGCGTGTTTTTTAAAGAACGAGGCAACACTATATAATAATGTATAATTAGCCTTAACGCTTTTGTCGTTGGTCTCATATATGGTTGGTGTTGTAGGTTTTATTGATATATAGCTACGTGGTTTTGAAAGAACGAGGCAACACTATATATGCACAATTAGCCATAACGCTTTTGTCGTTGGTCTGGTAGGCTTTATTGGTATATACGTGGTTTTGAAAGAACGAGGCAACACTATATATATACGCACAATTAGCCATAACGCTTTTGTCGTTGGTCTGGTAGGTTTTATTGATATATACTTGGCGGAAAGAGCGAGGCAACACTATATATGCACAAGTAGGTTAAAAATTAACACTCCCCCCCCCCATTAAACCATCATCACCATCTTACACCATATTCACCACCTGACAACAGCTGTTCAGCTGAACCATCCTACACCATCCGACACCACACTACAAGCGTCTGACAAACAAAGCATCTGACACCATCTTACACCATCTTCACCACCTGACAACCGATGGCTATATTGGACATATATGACTTAGGAGGGAGGAAAACTTGGCCCAAATCACTTCACCATTTCCATCATGGGTTGTTCGCGCACTCCAGAACAAGTGGCTTGTGCAAGGCTTTATCCACTCTGCAGTTGCTTCACATCCACAATTTTGGTGAGAACCTTTGTCACCTCTACAATATAAAAACATCATAGCTTTGACAGTCAAATAAGTCTAGTTTGAACCCCCTTCTCACCATGCACCACTATATTTATTTGCATACAATAACATACAGTAAATAGTGTATGCAATTAATTACAAAAGGCAGCAAGTTCAAGGTCATACTTTTCTTTATATGCCAAATATCGAAGTAGTGAATGATGTCTGACAGCTTTTCCCTCATATGTTTTGTGATTGACGAGTGTCGATCAGATACAAATGTCTTCACTGCCACTAAACTTAGCAAGTACTCCATGCTCCTGCAAAATCCTGCATATTCCATGGCTGGACTACTGCCCACTTCATTCCTCTAGTAAAGTAAAAATATAAGTGCCATTAGCATAGCATTTTAACAGCTCTATAACAGATCCTTCATACTTGAGGCCATTTGGTTTACATAGGACAACTCTTCTTAAAACTGTACAATGAAATGTTGATGTAAAACGTTTTCATACCTGTATTAAAGCAAAATGAATTATGTATGGGACAGTGCAACAAAATACAGTGTATGCACAGTATTTGGCACTGTGTCCCATACTATCATGCCTTCCATCTCCAGCAATCACCAATTCTTCCTTTGTTTTTAATTCATCGAGAAGCTCTGCTTGGTACTTCTTCCAATGTAAATATATTGATGGAATTAATTTTTCCTATGTAAAATACAAGATAAAATGGGGAATGAGTACAATATAATAACTTATTTCACTTCCCTGTGAACTTTTTAATAAACTTTCTACTTTTTCATCATTCATTATTTTAGAAAAATTCAACAGAAGTATTTTGCACAGTGATACAGTACACTTAGTGACATTAGTCACTTTAAAAGAGTACATCGCTTGAAAACTTACCCGTTGATATTTAAAGAAAGTTGTCAACGATATGCAGGTCATCCCCATATGTTTCAATGCTCTGAACACCTTGGTTGCAGAGGTTCCAGCCAAAATGATTCCATAGCTTAGAAGAAATTTACCAGCTGCAATTTTGGTTCCATGAAAGTTGGGTTGACTGAACCATGTTGTGCGCTCTCCACATTGAGGGTTGACACACACTGTTACCACCTCTGCCATTGTTCCATGTGCATTCACTTCAACAAGGGTTTTTTCACACTTGCACAAACGACAAATTTGAATCAAAGGCCTTCGAGGCCGACTCACGGATGAGATCAAATTAATTAAAGGGGGATATGATTTACAGCAGTTTTTTACAAATGGGAACCATGCAAGGGCAAGGACATTATTTGGTAAAACACAACATAATATAAAATGTTCCCGAACTGGGGCGAAGATCTTGCAGGTTTAAACAGTTTAATTTTAATTAACGACATCCTCGATTTTAACAATAAGAGACCGGTCATCATTTATGGAAGGGGGGAGGGAAAAAATAAGGGGGGGATATGTAGAAATAAATGACTAGAAGGGGGGGGTATTAAATTTTTTTAAGAAAATGACAGGGGGGGTTGCAATTAAACTTGAAGGAATTTGCTTAATAACCTGGTATCCATTTGGTTGTAAATGTTGCAACTAAATCATGGTCACTGATGTGAAATAGTCTGGATTCATCTTGTCTTGTGTGTGCTGTATGCAAATCAGTCTTTACGGATTGCAGACTAGTTAAATTGACAATGTATTATTACACCAGCTCTTGATGTGGTTAAATACATTTAAATTAAGCAGTTAACGGCGTTTGTATTATGCAGGCCACATCCGCTGAAGGGAGTCTGTGACGTCATATCGATCAAAGGGGGTTGTTTCATGCCTTGTGATCAGTGCTTGGGTCTGGGTATTCATTCTGCCATTGTATGCTTTGCCTAGCTGCAGCAAGGTTTGCGCTTCGATTCCTTTTCCCGACCAACCCACCCATGTTCATTCTAAAAGATTTTATCTGTCATTTTTATATGTCATTTTATTTTATATCATTTTTAATCTCACATAAAATAGGATGTATAG